AAAAGTAAAAATTTCTTTGGGAAATACTGCAACTTCTGCTACTGCCACCAAATCAACACTGTAAAACTTAGAAGAATGACTGCTATACCAGTGTAAAACTGACCAAATTCTTGTAAATTAAATAGAACTGCTACAGAAAGCAACAGACTAGACAGCATTCCTTCAAAACTTTTAGAAATGCTTCTTTTCAAGGGAGATGGGGGACGGGAGGAGGTGGAGGCAGCAACTCTAGAAGCAGCTTCAACAGGGCCAGGGAAGTGAGGAAAGCACTCCTTTTTTCACACATCTCATCCCCATTACCCAGCAGTAAAAAACAGAGTATGTATTTGCTATTGCCAGTTCTGCAGCAGAACAGCGAAAGATACAACACTCAGGTCAGTTTCATACTTGCTGTTCAAAGAGTTTATGAAGACATGAAATTGACCCAATTTCTTAGGAATTTCACTCAGGCTACATCTAGGCTACATCTACACTACAGCACTTACAGCAGCACCAATTTCGCTGAGCCACTTTAGCACTTGTGGTGGAGATGCATGAGAGGCAGTAGCTTGTTGGCGGAAGAAGCTTCCCTGACACAGTACTGTTTACACTGGCGCTTAGGATGGAATAATTTATGTCGCTCAGGGCTGTGGATTACTCACACCCCGAGCAATGTAAGTTATATCAAAGTAACCTGTAGCAGAGACAAGGTCTCAGCTTTTTGGAGGAAGAGAATTTGGGGGTAAAAATAAAATAGAAAATCCTTCTCTTCCCCTCCCTCTTTTCCCAATGTCCAGAAAAGTAGAGGTAAGAAAGAGAAACATTCCCTCTTTTTCCCCAACAGCTGGTACTGGGTAGAGGAAGCTCCAACTTTATTAGGTGCTAGCTAACCAAGAGCAACACACCTTCTCTCAGAAGAGTACATTTAAGGCATCCTAGTAAGAAGTCCAGAGCTTTTCCATGCTTCACTGCCTTACCCCTATCTTCCTTTGCATTAGTTTCCACGTGACTAGTACACTTATAAAGACCTGTATGTCTACACTGCTGCTGGAAGCGAGCTTCTGAGCGCAGATGGACAGACTTGTGCTAACTGGGCTCAAGCTAGCACACTACAAATAGCAATGTGGATGTTGCAGCTGGGATGGCAGCTCAGGATTTCAAGCCCACCTGACGCCCTTGGACTGAGCTTGGGTGGAGAGCCTGAGTCTCCACCAGAGCTGCAATGTCCACAAAGCAATTTTTAGTGCAGCAGCTTTATTACTGGTGACAATATACAAACGAGGAAGAATAGAACTGACTTTTAGATTCCAGCTTTAGTTTTCCCAACTAGGAGTTGGAAGATGTATCTTTATACTGGTAACATGAGAAAAAGTTATATGGAAATTATAAATATATGAAGCCAAACAATGGTTGCATAGAAAGATATTATTCAAAGTAGAATCGCTGTAAGGTTCAATAACCTTCAAGGCTAGCAAAGAAGGTTGTATATCAGCAGTTCCCCAAACAAGGTCTGTCGCATCTTTTCCATTAATGCTTGGATACCACGTTGCTAACTCCACCCATTTAATTCAGCTCTCAACCAGGATGCTTGTAGAAGTGCAGAAGCCACTACTAGTGGCTATTGTTACATAAAATATACTGCCTCCTACTCCAGACCCAAGAGTAACCATCACCAAGACCATCACTAGTAGTAACAAGAAACACCCCCGACCTTTGATACATATGTAAAATATTTTATTATTAAAAGAATGAAAAGGTTACATTTACTGAACATGAACAAACCACAACATGCTCCCCCTATAAAATGGATGAATTAACTAGTGGAAAGTGGGAAAGGGTGGAGTTTGCAGTGTCTTTAAACTAGTGGAATATTAGAATAACTTTGTTTTTAAAATTTAAATTGTGATCATGTTTTAAGCGGTTAACGTTTAACTTAGGTCTAAAGGAACAGTAATTAAACCTGTAATTTAGACCTCTTATTAGACCTGCTTTATTGTTTCAAACTGATATAGAATATTAATCCTTATTTTGTTTCTTATAAGTTACACTTTGAGAGATCAATTAATATTGAAGACATTATTTACTCAGAGTCTTACAATATACTGCTAAAGAAGAAACAGCCCTTAGGAGCACATATTAAATCCTAGCCTCATAAGTGGTCAAGTCATATAATTTATTGATTGTTATCAGCAATACAAAGGCACTTTTGTTTGCACTCTATAAAAATGGGTGGTGATGGTGCTGGGAAGGGGATAAAATTAAAAGGATACAAAGTACTGTCAACTTCCACACCTAAAATTACTATAACAAAGATTGGAAATGGGTAAGTTTTCCTCAGTCTGTTTACTTTGTGTAAATTCTGTGTCACTGTTTTTTCCTGTACAATCACATAATTTCCCATTTGTTTGGGTCTTTCACATCAAGAGGAGAAAAAAAATTAAAATACAGAAAAGGAATTCTAAAGTAAAAATAAAACCAAACAAGTAGACAGAGGCAGGTGTAGTTAGTTCCCTGAAACAACTTCTGAAATTAACTAAATTTCCAATTGGTGGTCTAATTTCATGCTTATAAGGAATATAAAAATGAGATTTTACAATATTTGAAGAGTACATTAAAGAATTTCTAGACATTAAAAGGAAAACACCCACCTATACAATTGAGCCATGATCCAGCACAGTCTTATGCATATGCTTAACTTTAATCATGTGAGTAGTCCCACTTACTAATGCAAGTAAAGTTCAGTACATACATAAGTGTTTGCAAGATTGGAGCCTTCTTAGTCTTTGAAAAGGATACATCTATAAAGTTACTGCTTTGCTGTAGACTAGAGAGCATGTTAGAATTAGTAATTGCTGTCATGCCGGCAAATTTATCATGTGCTGCGACAGAATTGTAGAAATTGGTTACATTTAATAAAGTGTTGGCAGTCACAATGAAATTTATTTTAGATTAGTGATTATTCATAGCTCTAAATAGCCACCCAATCCCCTAACACAATCATTCCAAAAACAATAGGCACTTTCAAGATATCTGCCTATACTGCCATTTGAGAAATATGTTTACAGCCGAAGAGAGGCAGTATTGTCCAGCAGACAGGGCAATGAACTGGGAGTCAGAAGTCTGGGTTCTCCATCTACCAGTAACTTACTGTGTGACCCTGATTGGACAAGTCATTTCACTTCTCTGTGCCTTCATTTCCCTTCTCACCCTTTGTCTGTTCAATTTAGATTTTTTAAAAATCTCTTTGTGGCCAGGACTGTCTCTTACTATGTGTTTTTACAATTCTTAGAATAATGAGGCCCTGATCTTCAGGAACTGTTACAATCAATCAATAAATAAATCATTGGAAAGACCGATAAGGTTAAAAAACATGTTTTATATTAAACTCTATACCCTCATTCTTGTACAATGGCTACGCCTTATGCCATTATCGTCCTGAACCCTGGAAAAAGAAACTAGAATTCATGGGGATCTTTAACGGTCTCTGATATCTGAGACATTACAGAATGCAAAAGATTTTTTTCTCCTGTACTGATACTAAACAAGAACCTTCACAGAAGTATATGAGAGTCTATTTTATTTACTTTATTTAAAAACTCATTTAGTGTCAGCCAGAAGTACAGAAAGCTAGAATAAGGTATATTTTATAGCTATGCAAATTTCATTTTATCTTTATACACACAAAACAAGAGGCAGCTTTTGCATCTTTTCAGCAGTGAAATGGGTAAATGACTGTGGGGAAGTAGGAAATAGAGGAAGCTTCTGAAAGCCCTAAATTCACATGCACAGAAGAAGGCAAGAAGAATTTTAAGTTAAACTCAAGAATGATAAATGTTGTAGAAAGTGCAAATGAACACAACACTTTCATCTGACAAACTGTCAAGACTACATTAGCACACTCTTGGATAAACATTATCAGCAATAATCTGAATATTTTTCATTGTAAATTGATTACTACTTTTACACCTTTAGCTCTAATTTATCCAAAATATAAAAATTCACCTTAACTTAGTTAATGCTTGATTCCTAAATACCAACCTAAAACATGTCAAACAATTTTGTTTCTGGGACAATAGACACACTTCAGTGTAATTGTCTGTCCTAATATAAACCTTGAAATTGCTTTATGTAAACATTTAGACACCTTATAAGTGGGCTATTAGTACCTCCCGATTTCTTGCATTTAGAGTCATCACTAATTGTACACACAAATGCTGCTCACTAATGATATGCATTCAAGAATCAGATAACATAATACATATAAAACAACAATTTTCCTGGATAACAGGTGTAAGATTTCCCTTAATACTATCAACACTACAGGAATCCTTTTTGAGCTAATGGAAAGACAAGCACAGTGAAATCTTACTGTAAACACCGACTATTGCTGTTACTCAATTCCCATTACTTTTCAAACAATCCAATTAAACACAAAAGCCTTTAAAGTCAGCTGAAAGTCATGCTATTAAATTTATTGTTTATGAAAAATAAATACCAATACTTTAAAATGCTAAGACATTATATCAACTTTAAAAAGGTACAATCTATAAATTTTTGTGTGTAGTTCCACGCAGCATGCATATGAAAGGTTTTCTTATATTTCAGAAAGACTAAGGACTGCTTAATTTTCCTACCAAAAAATCATAAAATGGTTACACTGTATATATCTATATTCTCACAATGACTACTTACTACTACATTTTGAAAGAGTCTGAAAATGGATAACGTGCTCCCAAAAATTGACAGAGCTTCTTAAGGGCTAGCTTAATAATGATCTGAGCTTTCCATTCCTTTTGTGGCACTATTTACCATTTGTGAAGATTCACAGTACTGCAATTAGTACTGAAAACCCAGAAGACTAAATCAAATATCTAGTTGAGTGTTTGCCATACTGTTTTTTCTAGCCTCCTGGAGGATTTCTTTGATCATTTTAAACATGAGACTCTAAAACCCACAGATTTCATACCCTTATAGTTCTAGGCTACTTGAACAAAATGGAAACAGCAAGGCACACAACTTACCCTCAAAACGTATACATAAACACAGTATGAGCAGTAATATGTAACTTAGCAGGGGGGTGACAGACAAGACACAGGCTGGCATCCAACTCTACTTGGGGAGCACAGGAGCGTTTCAGACTTTCCAATGCTCTGGGTGTCTCTAAACCTTAGACTGTCAGATGCTAGGACTGGACGACAGGGGATGGATCACCACAAGTGACCTGTTCCGTTCACTCCCTCTGAACCACCTGGCATTGGCTGTTGTCAGAAGACAGGACACTGGGCTAGATAGACCATTAGTCTGACCCAGTATGGCCATTCTTATGTGCGTCCATACAAGTGAGCCGCTGTCCAGGCTGAGGATCCACTCCATCTGGAAACACCGATTCCAGCAGCCTCAGTGCCAATACTTCAGCCCTTTCCATGCGAGCAACTGACTGAGCCTATTTAAACAGGATCCCGGGGGCGGGTGCAAAACTTTCAGGGCCTGGCCGGAGTTTGACACACACTTTCCACTGGGAAGGGGGGGGTTGAGTCGCCGCAGAGCCGGCTCCTGTCCCCCTCGGAGGGGCAGCAAGCGGGGCGGCCAGGAGCGGAGGGGGCAGTTACTCACTGGTTAGTCGGGGGCGCGGTGAGCGGGATGGCCACCTCCTCCTCTTCGTACTCCGGCCCGTCCAGCGAGTCTCCTTCATCCACGGTGCCCAGCCCCCCTACCAGCGGCAGGGGCAGGGGGGGGGCGGCAGCGGCGGGAAGCCCTCAGCGGCCGGCCCTCCTGCGGGGCCGGGTTCCTGCGGGGCAAGCGCCCCCCTGGGCACCTCCTGCTCCAGCCCGGCGGCCACCGCGCCGCCTCCCGCCGCCGGAGGAGCAGGCCCCGAGCCCAGGGCCAGGAGTCCCAGCGCCGGGCACAAAGGGGGACCGGCGCCCAGGCTACCCGCGCCGGAGCCCTGCGGCCCCTTGGCCCGGCACAGGGTAGGGCAGTGCCCCGGCTCCCCAGCGGCGCTCGCCGAGCCGCCCTCCTCGCCTCCAGCCTCGGCCGCCATCATGGTGAGCCTCGCCCCCTCCGCACGCCGGGCAGGAGGCGAGCGAGGGGCAGAGACCCCCCGCCCCCCCCCGGAACGGGGAGCGGAGCCGGGACTGGGACGAGCGAACTTCCCCGGCGGCGGCTGCTGCGAACAATACCCGGCTGGGCGGGGGCTGGATTCAGGGCAGCGCGGCAGAGCCACGGCGCGGCTACCTCATCCCCTTGCGCCCGGGAGGGGAGCGGCTCCCGCGGAGACTCACCCCGCCCGCCCGAGCGCAGCTTCGGAACGGGCACGGGCCAGCCTGGGCGGGGAAGGCAGGGAGACAGGCGAGCGGCTCTCTTCGCAGTGCGCATGCGCGCCAGGACCGTCCGCGGGGGTGGGGGGCAGGCTGAGCGCGCGCACGGGGGCGCGCCCCTGTGGCTCCTGCCGGCTCTGAGTCAGGGAGCAAGGTAAAAGCTAGATTCACCTGGAGCCTTGCAGGGACCGCGCGTGGGGGGAAACCAAGAGCTGGAGCTACCTGAAGCATAATGATTTTTGGCCCTTGGGCTGCAACGTCAAAGTAGAGGACACACCTAGCCCTTAAGGGAGACGGACAGCTCAGTGGTTTGAGTATTGGCCTGCTAAACCCAGGGTTGCAAGTTCAATCCTTGAGGGGGTCATTTAGGGCTCTGGGGCAAAAATTGGGGATTGGTCCTGCTCAGGACCACCTGAGGTCCCTTCCAACCGTAATATTCTATGAGTCTACTGCACCCCAAATTCTGCCTCTGGCATATCCTGACCATTTTGCTTCCAACTCCCCAAGTTTTACTGCCTAAATAAAGAACATAGGGAGCCAGACCTTTTGAATCTCACCAGTGCAGCTCTGATTCACACCGGTGCAACAACAGCACCTCTAAAAAAACGTTCTAGGGCTTGGGTCCTCTTGGATTAACTTGCCAGATGTGTGCTTTTGCACCACTGTTGCACCAGCATACACTGGGATCTGGATTAGTCTAGTGAACTAAGAAAAGCTGCAAATGCACCCCGTAAAACTGGGCAGCCGAACCTTAACCAGATATAACAGGATCCTGGAATCCAGACAGAGTTTTATCCTGCAGCTTTCTTGTATTAGGATGTGTTTGAGTGCAGATTGTGTTTGGTTTTGGTTTGTTTTTTGTGGAATAGTAAAAACAGCCCACTTGTTTTCTATTTTGATGGTACCATTTCTGAGTTTGTGGCCTAAATTGGGCTGGATTGACAGGAATCAGATCCAGGTTCTTGCAGTGGTGTTACTTTAGGATCCAGCTTTTTTTGTGCACTAGAACCTGCTGGGCACGACTCCTTCTTCCACTTTTTTCTAATACCTCTTAAGAGAGGGAGGAACACTGCACTTTCCCTTTCTATGTTGTCATGTCCATTCCTGTGCCTCTGAACCATGTTGAGCAAAGCAGGGCTTGGAGTACTGAGCAGAAGTACTTAAAGACTAAAGAACCAGCCTGGTGGAATAGAACCTACTATAAAAAACTGTTGCTTATGTAGGATGGCGATTCAGAATCATTTACCCACACTGAAGAAATGTGCTGTTGGAATTGCAGGCCTACATAACAATAACAGTCTGCATGTTCCATTGAGAAATCTGCACTGGTTAATTCACCTATTTTTTTCTTCAAAATGTCAAAAGTATGCAGATGATATTGCCACAGTAACAATAAAACATACTGTATATTTGTTTGGCTATTATGACATAAATAGTGCATGTTTTAAGAGTTGCATGAACAATTCATTTTATTATTAACAATGTATTCCTGTATACCTTGTGACAGGATAGCCAATGTTAGTATGGTGGGTCCTGCACTTTTCTTGCCAGGGTACTAAGATACTACCGCTTGCCTATGTTCTTGGGGCACCAAGGGCCCCACTAGTGGCCCAGGAAGGTGGTAGAGAAGGGAAGCAGGCTAGGTTTGCTCCTCACTCTGAGCCCCAGCCCCTCTTCCCCCTTGGGTGGGTACCTTCAGTCCTTAGACGGTGGGGAAGGGTCTCCCTGGTTTTTCAAAACACACCTCTACACTCTAGTCCCCTCTCCTTCCTCCTCCTCTCTGACTGTGTAAAGTGGGTGGGTGAGGGGGTGTTAAATTAGGTTCCTAATGGGGCCTAAATCGACTACAGGCGCTCCAATTAACCTGTCACCACCCTCCCTAGTCTACAGGGAACTACGCCTTAATTAGCCTAGGGCTTATATATTTCCCCTCTCCCACTGCTCCCTGCCCCTCCTGTATCACAGCCTTTATGAAAATGTATCCTTTTCTATTATTATGGGCCTGATCCTCAAGCATTTATGCCTATTCTTAACATCATGCCTATTAGTTGTTCCATTGACTTCAATGGAACTAGTCATATGCATTAAGTTAAACATATATGTAAGTATTTGCATGAACAGGACCTGTGTGGCTAATATTGCCAGACAAAATTACCTTTTGACTTGCAAAATTAAAATAGCTGACAAATAATAACACTTTTGTCTCTTTGTCTCTACTTTTTCTCTAGGCTGTTATGACTTTGTACATTCTCTTATTTGTTTATACTTGTATGTCTCAAATGTTCTCATAAGGTATTTAAATGTTCAAGTTTTCAGAGCTTTGCCCTCCCCAGAAGTACTAAGTGAATTTTTCCTGAGGCCAGCAAAACAAATATCTGTTCATACTCCTATTTCCACAGTTTTCCAGCCCACATCTTTTTAGCTGCTGAACTTAAGTTTCATACCTTGCCTTCTATATGCAAAATTCCGCTCATAGTTATACTACTAAAATCAATGGAGTTACTCTGGATTTGTGCCAGCATCAGTGAAAACAGAATTTGTCCTGAGTTTAACACATGTATACACTGCTGCTGTTCTGTTTCAAAAATTGAAGCCTCGGTGGCAATATTTTACACATCTGATTTCCACAGACACATGTTTCATTAATAAACATGTATTTCAAATACTCTTGAATATTTCAAATACTCAGATACTGTCTCTGTGAGCTTCTGTTTACTATTGTTTATTTTTCCTCACAGATTTTCAAATAAAGTGATTTTAACACACTGTTGTTGCCTTTGTAGGAGTGATAAACACATTCATGCAACGTAAATATTTACAGGATTCCTTTCTTTGAGACACTGGTTTCTAATACTATGTAAGGCCACAGTTGCACCTACTGGTGTACAGGGTCTGCAATGGCAGCTGATCTGAGGATTCACCCCAGTGGAGAACAGAGGGCAGCCCTCCTTCATGGGTTTTGTGAGGGGAAGGCACTTATGTATTCTGGTCACGGCTCCACAAGAGATGAGACGCTGTCTATGAGATTTGTTAAATAAGTTTGTCTCAAAACTGCCAATTCTGCCCTCTCCAGGCCAGACCTATATGTCTGATAGGTTGTGTTAACTATCCCAGCTCCTTTGGCAAAGCAAGGATTGAAGTTGGCTTGCATCACTGTGCTGCTGTTCCAGGTGGACTTTCCACCGATTGTATCTTTGGTTCCATTATACAGACTTTCACAGGAACAGACAGAGGTACCATTTGTATTAATGTATTTGGACCAAAAAAGAGGTAGAACCATATATGCTTGATGCCTGCCTGATGTTTACAAAAAATGCTTTTTTACTCAATACCCTGGACAAAATTATGTTAGGACCATTCAGCACCACTCCTAGTGGTGTCATGGATGGTGAAAATTAGCTTAGTTGATGAGTAAGTTAGACCTGCCCTGCGGTTAGTTTCCTGTAACTTGTGCGTACTATTTTTAAGGGAGGGGAACCTGTGAAATGATACATATAGGAGTTTTTCCAGTAATGGCTAGTGGGTCCAATGTACTCTAAACTTGGTCACACTGAAATTTCACATCACGAATAAAGTGGAAACTTTCTATTATTCCAGTTTCAATATATTTTAACTATATCTAGTCATTTCTGACATGTTTTAGTTGTATTTGGTCAATCTGTGGAGAGGAGCAAGACATTTTTTATATTGAACATGAATGTGTATCCCATATAAAATATATTTGGCACATTTATTAATGTTCCCATTACTGGCCTCCGTTATGAATCTTTTTTAATCATGTAAACATGATTAAAAAGTAAACATTCCCATTTGGTAACTGGCAGTTCTACTCCCTTTCACAGACTCAGAACTCCTGTCCTGTAGAAGAGCCTAGAATATCCCTACATTCCCAATGGTATTGTTCACTCTCAGGCTTCTCTCAGACCCTGGAGTTTCAACACCCAGAAAGAGCAGCAACAAGAGAGTTTTCAGTGAGTATGCCTTTGGTATTCAGACTTAGCCAAGTGAGGAAAGAGAAAACCACTTTCCTAATGCATGGACTTCACAATTTTGCTAGTCTAAACAAGGACTCTAAACCTCTTTTTTATGGACCTGCATTGTACATAGCAAATCCTTCTACCCCAAGGATATATTGAAATCACATTTTGACACACCATTTTGGCTTGACAATTCTCTGAGTCTGAAATCTCTAGGCTAGTTATTCAAGATGGAGGGCTCAAAACTCTCCCCTTCTTACAAACCTTCCTTATTTGACTTCACAGGAGTTAGGATTTAAC